CTCTCTCCCTGTTGTTCTGAGATCTGCAGGGGTTCACAGGCAGCCCTGGGCCCACCCCCCTCAGACCCTCTCCCTGTTCTAGAATCTGCAGGGACGCACAGTCAGCCGCGAGCCCGCCCCCTGTCTAGAGCATCACCCCTTCCTCTAGAAACAGCATAAGGCCCCAGCAGGGACTTAGTCGTCCACCCTCGCAGTAACAGTGTGGGGAGGAGAAATGAAGCCAAGCTGAACAAACACTATCCACTGCTTCTAAACTCGGTTCCGATCTTCAAACCCTTTGCCCCATCTCCACTGTGGGCCCTGCGTAGCAAAGTGGCTCACACAGGGCAGAGAGGGCACTGGGGCCCCAACTCCTTCCCGGAGAGAAACAGAAGCCTGGACGCTGTGTGATAAAACCACAGGTCACTCTGAGCAAACACTCTGCAGTAACAAACATCCCTTGAGAAGCATATGGGGGGAGAAAAGTGTGTTCTGATGACCTGCATTCATATTGCAGTCAGCCTGCACCTTGAAGTCAGCTCACTGCAAAGACGGGTGCTGTGGGGCCACAGCACTAAGGGACCCCTGGCTGCACACGGTCCGTCTTGCAGCTTCTGGCGGACAGACGCTGGGATAACGTATGCACGCCCCAGACTGCTGGCCTGGTGACGCGGGGGGATGGTGGGGGGTAGCATGCGCCCCACAACCCGCCATGAGCTCCCCTGGCCACACCCCTGCCCTTGTCTCTGAGCCTCATGGTGTCACCGTCGAGGCCGCCGTCCATCATGAACACAAGGCGCCAAGGATCGGGTCAAACCCCCTGGGTGGCGACCAGGTCTCATGGCTGCCGGGCTTACCTGGTCCATGGGCGGAGCCGGGGAAAACCGCTTGGCACAGGCTAGAAATATGTCGGGGTCTGGCTTCCCATTCTTCACCTCGGGGTCGTCCCCCAAAACGATGTGGTCAAACAAGCTGAAGAAGTCCTGGTGACTGTTGGTCTTCATCTCGAAGGAGGCGCGGCCGGAGCTGGTGGCCACGGCCAGGGGCACGCCGTGCGCGCGCAGATGGCGCACCAGTCTGTCCACCCCTGGGGAGCAGGAGGGGACACCGTGAGAGGGGCTGGGGGACGCCCGGGCCAGAAGGCGCCCTGCAGCCTGTGCGCTGGCTCTGTGACCACGACTCCTTGCCGCCTCCCGTCAGGAAGGGTCTCACCCCGACACAGAGGGGCTGCACGGGGTGCTCAGAGGCCCTGAAACACACCGACTCAAAACCAAACCCGAAACCTATCAGGGCTTCTCGATAGCATTTCCCAAAGTAACAGAAGGCAATCCTGCCGGAAAGAAATGCGGCTTCGTTTGCTGGTCGGCTCTAGCTGAAAGGTGGAAACCAGGCCAAGTGAGCCCAGGGAGGGGTCTCTGCGCTTAGCGGCCCAGGTTGTTTGGTTTCCTTTCCTGAAGCAATGAAGATGCAATGACTGTGCTGCTGGTGTTTTCTGAGAAAACTCCCTGTTTGACTGAAAGCAGTCCAATCCCTCCTCACACTGCTGGGAAGGGAAGCCATGAAAGGCCTTGGACCAGAGGTCGAGCAGAAAGGCCGGGCTCACAGAAAGCTGCAGCAGCAGCTGATAAGGGAAGAGAGCATAAAACAGACGGTGCTTATCGCAGCTGAGCAAGGCCAGCAAGCCTCACAGGAGAGCACCGTTTCGCACACTCGCGCTGACTGCAAAGAGTAAGTTCACGGACCGTGCAGGGTAGTATCGCTTTGCACGGAGCCGGCGGACACAGGGAGCTTACCAGAAGCGTGTCAGCCACACCGGTACTTTCCACCTTTAAACCGTTCTGATCATGTCAGTGACTAAATCCACACACAGCACTAATTATCTACAGTAAGTATGATTTCATTTTATTTTATGTTTATTTACTTTGAGAGAGACAGAGAGCTAGCAGTGGAGGGGCAGAGAGACAGGGAGAGAGAGAATCTCTTCCTAGGCAGGCTCTGTGCTGTCAATACAGAGCCCAACACAGAGCTCAAACCTACAATTCACGAGATCATGACCTTAGGGGAAATCAACAGCTGGACACTTAATCAACAGAGCCACCAGGCACCCCTAAAATAATATTTTAAATAATTGTATAATCATTACTGCTTTAGTAACTGCATGAGGCTGTGTTCCTACTTTCTTAGTTGCAACAGAAAAGATCGACATGGTTATTTTGCTTGTTCAACACCTAAAGCTGCTCACAAAGGCAACAAATACTGTCAGTGCCTGACCCTTAAGAGAAATAGTTCTGAGATGTTCAAAGGAAGGCGTGCATCTTAACTCTGTGCCAGGAAAATGTTAAAACTTTTTTTTTTTTTTCCCTGAGAGAGAGACAATGTGAGCAGGGGAGAGTCAGAGAGAGAGGGAGACACAGAATCTGAAACAGACTCCAGGCTCTGAGCTGTCAGCACAGAGCCCGATGCGGGGCTCGAACCCACAAACCACGAGATCATGACCTGAGCCGAAGTAGACGCTTACCGACTGAGCCACCTAGGTGCCCCAAAAACTTTTTAAAAAAGAAAGCAAAATCCAGCATTCCACTGGATGTGACATTCATACCGTCTGACATCCAATCACGAGTTACCATGCCTTGGGACACCTGGGTGGCTCAGTCAGTTGAGTATCAGACTTCAGCTCAGATCATAATCTCAAGGTCTGTGAGTTCAGGACCCACAGTGGGCTTGCCGCTATCAGCCTGACAGCTCAGAGCCCACTTCACACCCTCTGTTCCTCCCGCACTTATGCTCTCCCAAAAATAAATATTAAAAAAAAAAAAGAGTTCCCATGCCCACGCAAAAGTACACAAACACAATATATGGACAGGAGAAAAAAAGTGATCAATAGAAATGGACAGAGAAATGACTGCGATGAAGAAATTAGCAGATCATGACCTTACAGAATCTGTATAAACATTATAAGTATGCCCACGTTAGAAGGGGAAAAAAAATAACACAAAAACGAAAGTAATATCCAGTTACACACTTACTTTAATTATACTCAGGTTAAAAATAAATGGTTTGAAAACCGTGTATTATGTAACTACTAATCAAAAGACTGGGTAGTTATATTAACAGCAGACAAGTGCACTTTAGAACAGTGAATGACGGTTCTCAGAGATAACTAGGGACATCGCATAATGACAAGAAGGTCAATTCACCAACAAGACCTAATTCCAAATGTGTATGCATCAAGTAACAGAGCTTCAAAACACGTAAAGCAAAAACTAATAAAACCGAATGGAGAAACAAACTCAGGTTTCAAATTCCTCTGTCAGTAACTGAAGGAACAGATAAAAAGTAGGGATACAACAGACTTCAAAAACATTATCAAGCAACTTAACTGAACTGACATTTACATAACGCATCACCCAAGACAGCAGAATACAAATTATTTTCAAGGGCATGTGGAACACTCAACAAGATACAACATGAATCCATGAGCTATAAAAAAATTCTAAAACATTTTAAAATAATTGAAATCATACAAAATATAATTAAAATAGGCATCAATAACTGAAAGTTATGTGGGGAAAAAAGGACATGAGACAACACACTTCTACGTAAGACATGAGTCAAAGATGAAGTCACAAAGGGAAATTAGATAATATTCTGTAGAGAACAAAAAGATAACATATTAAAATTCTGGAGATGTGGCTAAAACAGTGTTTATAAAAAACTTATGGCACTAAATGTTTGTATTACAGAAGAAGATGGTCTCAAATCAGTACTCTAAAAACCGGAAGAATGAAAGCCAATGATTAAAGCTTTTCACCCCAAGAAAGTGAAGGTAAAGAGCAAAATCAAGTTAAAGCAAACTAAAGAAAGGGAAGAAAAAAAAGAAGAGAGAAAAATCAATGAAAGAACATAAAAGAGAATACAGAAAATCACTTAAACCTAAAGCTGGTTCTTTCAAAAGTTTAATTTAATTGGCAGACTGTTAGCCAAATTGATCAAGTACAAAGAAGGAAGATCCAAATTCACCAGTTCTAGCAATCAAACAGAGGACATCATCACAGATCCTTAAAGTCATTAAAAGGACTAAAAAATACTATTATGAGCAACTTTGTGCTGATACATTTAATAACTTAGATGAAATGGATAGGTTCTTTGAAAGATACAAAGCTCATTCAAGAAGATAGTAATAACCTGAACAGCCCTATTCATGGTAAAGAATTCGTGGTTAAAAACCATCCTGTATCTAGGATTGAATGGCCTCATTGGTGAACTTATCAAAAACTTTAGGAGGAAATTATACCAATTCTTTTTCTTTTTAATGTCTTGTTTATTTCTGAGAGAGAGACAGCATGAGCAGGGGAGGGTCTGAGAGAGAGGGAGATACAGAGTCTGAAACAGGCTCCAGGCTCTGAGCTAGCTGTCAGCACAGAGCCCGACGCGGGGCTCGAACCCACAAACTGTGAGATCATGACCTGAGCCGAGGTCGGAAGCTTAACCGACTGAGCCACCCAGGCACCCCGAAATTATACCAATTCTGAACAAACTTTTCAGAAAATAGGAGGGAACAGGTCCCGATTCATTTCATGAGACCAAGTACTTCTCTGACACTGAAACAGGACAATAGCTAGACAAGAAAACTACAGATGCATACATCTCATGTTATAACACCTTCACACTTAAAAACTATTTCAACCAGTGTTTAAGTCTTGTATATAGTCAGTGTCTATGCAGTCTGAATACATTCGTTGCAAGCATAAAGATGCCTAAACACTCAGCCCGCTTGTAACACCCTATTTCCAAATTAGGTCATGTTCTGTGCTCTCTGTGGACAGTCATGCACGCAGTCAGCTGAGAAGCCTGACAGGAAGCCCCACATAAATGTTGGCTCTGGTCATCATCATCATCACCACCGTCATCTACAAGACTGGGATAAAGTCACTGAGAAATCTGGATGCGTAACTGGCTGACTCCTTAAAAAACTTTTGTACCCTTTAACGACTGTACGCCAACTTTCCCATACTCAGTCACTGCCCCTGAGAAGTAAAAGACTAAAAATGTAAATCAGGTTCTGTCCTGCAGAGAAGCTGGTTACTTAAGTATATAAATGAAATCCAGCTAACAGCTTCTGGCCCATGGTGTGCTTAAGTCGGTTTAAGGGGAGGGCAGAAAGACAGATATCTATTGCTACAAAGAACCAGCTCTCAAAGGATTAATCTACAGGGGAAGAAATAAGAAATGTGAAGCATCAGCAGTCTTTATAAGAAGATGCTTCCCTTTACTTCGTCCTAAAGACCCAAGATCGATGAGAGAGAACACGGATGCTGCCGTTAAAATGGATTTGGAAAAGGGAAAATGTAGAAAAGATGGAGAGCTGACATGAGCTCTTTATAAAGAATTTCTTTGGAATTCACCGAGTGGATGTATCCACGGAGACCCTACTACTGGCTCGGGCCTCACGTGTAGCACAGAGCTCCGGTGAGAGGTTAACGGTATGGGGGAGACGAAACTCATACAGAAGTGTGCACGCCACTGAGAAGTGCGGAGGGGGCACGGAGTCTAGATTTGTCTAGAGGGAGACCTATGAAGATAACGGCATGTGTTACTGAGGCCAGGTCTGTTGATGAATGGCCGTCCAGCTACCCATAAGAAAAACAGACGCCCACCCTGGGCTGGGACCAGATACACGGTGCAGGATTCTGCCCAGCCTGGACCTTGTACACGTGCATTCTGGTGACAGCGCATGGCCCCTGCTCACCCCGACCCACCCATGTGTACGGGGTAGTAGACACTGCCTCTCTTACCAGGTGGCTCTCACAATCCCTTAGAAGGCAGGTAGGGTAACACCTTGATGTCACCGATCAAAGGCCTGGAATTGAGTGTAATGGGTTGATGGCTGGTCCCCTAAAAAGATATGCCCAAGCCCTAACCCCAAGTCCACTATCTTATTCGAAAACAAAGATCTTTGCAGATGCGGTTCAGGATCTTGAGAATAAGATCACCCTGGATAAACCCAGTGGCTCGTGTCCTAGCCTGTTTGGGCTGCTACAACACGAGCCCAGACTGGGTGGCTTATGCACACACACTGATTTCTCA